TTAAAATATGTTAAATATATAGTCGTTTTATTAAAAAAAAAATAAGTTGTATCTTTTGCCTTAAAAACACAACACTTTGTATAACTAAAAATAATCTTAGATATAGTCTTCAAAGAACCGTACAACTTTGGTGTTTGACTTTTTTCTATTTCTAATAATAATAATTAACGATATATTGAGAAACGCGGTTAGTGACTAACCCTGTATATATTTTTTTAGAATATAGCCATTTAAATACAGGTATTCCAGTTGCCGAACACTAAAAGTCTATCCTTTTATGATAACTCATTAGAACAAGGTTTATGACGAAAAAAAAATCGTTAACGAGTCATTTTTTTTATAAAACCAAATGATTCAAAAGTGAAAAATTTCTTTAGATATTTCTTATGAACCTTTTATCTCTTTTAACATTAGAAAGATTGGTTTTGACGGTGACAGTGACCAAACATTATTTGGTAATTGTCTTTTTTGACAAAAAAATATTTTAAATATATCTGACAAATAATTTATTTTTTAGTTTGTTATGTGCGGAAACGGAATTGATTCCATTAATGAAAAATAAGGTCTAAGGTTATTTACAACTTTCGTCGCCCTTTAAATGCAATCGAATAAATTCCGTTTTTTCGAAAAATTACAAAATCTGATAATGTAAAATTTTATTCACTTTATGATAATCCCCATAAGTAAAAAAATATAGATAATACAAGTCAAAGTGTACACATAAAATATTTGGTAAGGATGGAAGACATCGGATACATGAAATAATTGCACATTTTTTTTTATAAAGTAACGGTGATAAAATGAAAGCGAATTCATAAACTGCGAGTTCAACAAAGTGACCTTCTTCGAGAAATTATAAAATTTCATTTTGCGAAATTTTATTAGAATAAATGATGATATAACCCCTAAAACTTAAAAAAATTCAACAAGAATGGGATTCGAACCAACGTGGACAGAATTCACCCACCAGGCGGAGTTCAACGCCTTAACTACTCGGCTATCTCCACCAATAATTTGATGACGTCACCTCAACATTTTGCATAGTAATGCTATTTAAATTTTATAAAATAACATTCCTTTACTTCCGCTTTGATTTTTTACCACAATTACGTCACAAAAATGAAAACATGAAAGTAGTCGTTTGGCGGGTGGACCTTATTACTTAGCTAGCACTTAGCTATAACAATAATAATAAATGTCAAATTATTAATATTGAACCTCCCTTGCTCCACAAGACACCACAACTTCAAAGGGATTAGATTTTTAGTGTCCAGAAATATATATATGCAATAGAAAACTTTTTATTACAACGTACTTGGATTCTCAAAATTTTTCGAAAATCAATTGTGCCATTTCTGAAATAATCTGCGTACTAAATTTGTTAATAAATTTTTTGTAATACATCCTCAAAAGGCGTTTCTAAAATAGTAAAACACGGTTAAAAATTTAACCAGATCTTCATGAAATATTAAACTACGACAGATTCCGAGACATGACAGGCGACAGCTAGATGGAAAAAGGAAACGCGGATTTTCGTATTCTATAAGCTGGAAAATGTCAATAAGCATGACATTAAAGAAGAATATTTTGCTAAAAAAGTACACATACCTTAGTAATAGTTGGAAGTCCAGATATATTATGACGATATATAGGTAACCCAGACACAATTCAGCAGCCTGATACCTTGAGAGCGGCTAGAGATATTGAAATTCTGTAAACGCGATTGTCTTTAGCTTGAAAGTGGAAGTTTCATTTAGTACATTAGAAATATGACGTCAACCTGTGTTTTTTTTTAATGCGACATTATATTTTTTAACGAATTTTGGTAGATTATTAAATTACGATAACAATGATATAAAAGTCTTTAGTGTAACTAATTATGGATAGAAAAAAAATGAAGCAGAGTGAAAAAAAGTGCATGCTAGAAGTTTATTTTACAAAAAAAAAGCAAAATATGTCATTTAAGCATATGTGAATAAAAAAAAAATTATTAGTTCGCGATTAATTCCTCAATTTCATTTCTGTAATCTTCTAATAAATCATGCAAAGGTCGCAAATACGCTAAATCTTTTATGTAGGCAGGTATCGCACCAACAAAAAAATGTAAGGACCTTAAATCTGGACTGCGAGCTGGTCATCGATAGGGTCTCTATTACCAATCAAATTTTCAATGTAAATATGTTTTACAATAAAATTTTTTAGCCATTTTCGAAACAAAAGAAAATTGCAGTAGTTCAAGATTTCTGACATTAAAAATTAACACTAATAGTATAATTGTGTTTACACATCTGTTTCTATGACAATATATGGCAATTCAATATATTATCTCTTCAATTAGATAATTTATATTTTTACAGTTAAAGGGAATACAACACATGTAAGTAAGTCTTTTACATCATTATAATTGTAATTTAATCACCAATCAAAATCAGTTAAAAATTTGTAGGTTGAAAATCAGGAACATAGATTTTTTCGTTGCGTCATATTTGCGATGTACTAAATTAAGCTTCCCCTTTCACACCACAGACAACACCGTTTACAAAATTTTGATATCTTTGTCGGTTTTCAAGATATAAGGCCGTGGAATTTTGTCTGGGACATCCTGTATATAATGTGTGATCAACAAAAAATGTCCTCGAGTTAGCGTTCGACGTGCAAGCTGTCTTTTTCGTGTCCCTTTAAGGTGAGTAGGAGGCAACAGTTCTTTACGCTTTGACTCGAGGACGTTTCTTATTTATCACAATTTATATAGTACAAATGTTATTTATTTTTTCCCTTTAAAAATAAAAATTTCAGAATAGCCGACTAGGAATTTTGTAAATTACTTCTTCAAAAATCTTCAAAGAAATTCCGACACATAACAGACAATAGATAGATGAAAAATGTAAACCTGAATCGTATTCTGTAAACTGCAAAAAGCCAAAAAACATCACATTAAATAAAGTACTTTGCAAAATAAAAGACTAGATGTCTTAAGAAAAATAGTTAGAAGTCAGTTTTTTGAATCCAGTGACCTGCGAAACTTGAAAATATGGCAGATTTGCCACTTCTTAGTAATGGTAGACATTTTAAAAGTTTTAAGCAACGTGATTAACATGTCATCTGTTAGAATAATTATGAGATTATGACATCTGAACTATGGTTGTCATTATAGTTACTAAAATCACTGTATATACCGTGCGATAAATAAAAACGTCCTCAAGTTGGTGTTAGAACAGAAATAGCTTCTTTTAATTCCGGTGACGAATCAAATGCAACTTTATTATGTTATCTTTCTTTAAGTTTACAACACATTTTACAGTTGCGTTCTGCAGCAATTGTTGTTTCAGAAAATAATTTCAGGATAATTTACGAAATGAAAATAAATCTTTAGCAAAGTTTTTGTTTCTTGAGTAAAGATCACACTCTGAATGGGTATTCGGACATTTTTAATTTAGTTTAAGTTGTTTTCTGGCTTGTTCGAGCGTTTTTATCCAATTTATCCCACACTCCACGAACAACTGTATCTCCGAATTTATATAGACTGTGTTACTACTTCCAATATATTTTCATTTAATTTGCTCCACAAAACTAGGAAGTCGCATTAACTCGAAGACACTCTGCTAATTGAATATAGACAAAGGACACTTCTACAAGCGTTATTTAAATTCGTAAAGTATAAAGTTAGCTATTTTAAGTCTAAGATATCTCAGAACTTTACTGGAACAAGCATGCTTTCAGTTTACAAACTTATTTAAACTTTTGGAGTGGAATTTTTAAGAAAACTATGATAGATTGGAACTGTGAAATTTGTTCGCATGTACTTTAATCCATTACATCCAAGATAAAAAGAAGTTTACTGTCGCGGATGTTTCAATTAATTTAAAAAAGCTTGAGTTTGTAGATCAAACAAATGTATCTCTGCCAGAATTTGAGTACGACTAGCACCTTACCAATGTTTATAAACTTGTTGCAGATCCATTATTAATGATATATTATGTACACGTCTCCGTAGACATATTTTGAACTTTGATTCAGGTCAGCTATTAAATCAAACCTCGAGGAGTATAAACACCCAACTCAGAGACCAAAACTTTTATTCTCTAATTAGCAAGTGGATATATTAAACTTTATCATGGGGAAAAACGCAACGTAGCAAAAATCTTAAAAATTTCATTTTGTAAAAATTATTTAAATATAACGCCTTACGACTCTATAATAACAGGATGATGAAAGCATTCCGTTTATTTAAAAATTTCAATAATAAAATTAAAAAATGAATTTGAGAAAGTGCCAAAAAACAAATTTATTATACTATGTAACTATATATTCTTTTTTAATTTGTCGGAGTCATTTCAAATTCGTATTAAAGGATCACTTAATATTTACAGCGGCGATCATAAAAATTTATTCCTTGGTAATTTCCCATTATCCTCAAAAATTGCCTGAGATAACGAAAATCACAAAACGAGTTTTATTAATAACCAAGGTGTTGAGCTTTGATGTTTTATTTATTCTTTTTTAAATGCCGCCAGTGACAGGTTATAAACGCACAATTCCGTGTCAACGAAACCGTAAAGATACGGACTAGAATAGAGTCCAACAGAGGGAAGACGACAAAAAAGCAAAAAATTTCCGGCAAATTGGTCGTTTTCTTTTATTACGGTGTTCCAGGGTTGTCTACCTCTCCTAAAAGCGACACGACAGGGTCGGGCTCAGCCCCCCGAGACCATCCCTGGAGCCATCGCGTGCGCTTTTCCACATACCCGTTTCCTCGAACGGACGCAGCTTTGTAATTTTAGAAATTTTATGATAACTTTTGAACGCGCGGTATTATTTTAATGGTGACGCCGGCCAAATAAATGACATAAATAATTTCAAAGGAACACCCACGACTTGCCACTTAAATCAACAAAATGAAAAATAAAAAAATATAAAAAATGCGCAACTTGAACAACAACGTGATATGAATTATTGTGGTCGGCACGGGAAAATTTAAATTTAATTTGGTGTGTTTACAGGGACGGGCTATTTAAATTTCGAGTCGTTCTGTAAAGTAGCTGTTAATTTCCTAGAAAATGAAGACGACGAAGTCCTGCAGAAGGAGCTCAAAGAAGCATTCAGGCTATATGATAAACAAGGTAAGTGTTAATTTGTTTTTTGAGTGGCGATAGTGATGGTTTCTTTTTTCAGGAAATGGATACATCCCCACTTCCAGCCTGAGGGAAATTTTAGTAGCCCTTGATGATCAGCTCACTAATGATCAGTTAAACGAAATGATTGCAGAAATAGACACCGATTCTTCAGGCACAGTCGACTTTGATGGTAACAATTTTGATTTTCTTTTCCCACTAAATCACACTTATTTTTCAGAATTTATAGAAATGATGACCGGTGACTGAACTTGTCCCCTCCAGCCCCTTTTTTTATCAATAATATTCTTATTTGTTATAATAACAATGGTTCCTAATAAATTGTACATATTGTAATTAGTGAAAATTTCCCCAATTATTTTAATTACAGCTCGCGTGAGTATCAGTGTTATTCATCACAATTATGGGTAATTACTTCTAATTTAACTAATGACACCAGTCCTGTCAACCACGTAAAAAAATAATCCACCCTAAATATTTGCATTTTTTTAGCACTTTCGTGCAAACTATAATGCCGACTTCTTCTGGCAGGTGGAGTTTTATGAAAACAGTCTCCCTGCCGTAAAATAATACATCACGGCTTTATTACCAGGTAATATTTGTTAATGGAAATGTGACGTCACTGTAGAAAGATTTATGACAATGTGGCAACAGGTTCAATTAACGGGATGACGTGGGCTTAGAGTGAGTTTTGAGGGTTTTACACATATACATTTCCTAAACAAACCTGAAGCGGAAAATCACTTTTTAATTAATCCTATTTTAATTTGGGGTTAAATTATGAATGAATGCGTTTCATTCAGGAGAAAATGTTTACAGAGTTCATGAAAACGTAATGGAGCACAGAATGAAATGCTAAATAAAACACGACCTTTCATTACGGCATTCGGGAAAGAAGGACAAAATTTCGTATAATTAGGGAGGCGAAATGAAAAAAGCTCTTAAAAATTAATCAGGAATTATTTAAAAATACGTACATCGTTTCGAAGCTGAAAATCGTCAATCATTATGGTAAGTCTAAGGATGCCACACCCCTTAATGTGCCGCTTGAAATAGGCAATTTGGCCAGGAGTAGTTTTTCTGTCTTTTAAGTACAAATTAATTTATTTCGTTATTAAATAAAACTACCCGGATTATGTCTGCTAAATGGATTAAAAGGGGATTTACAACACTTGGGGTCGGTGCGAGGGATGAAAAAAAAAAAGGAAGCGTAATGGCTTAATACTTCTTAGTTCTTCCAGTTTTATGGAATCGCATGTTTCTTATCTGAAGCGTTTAACTTTAACTGAACTTTACTCCCATTTTTTATAACATAGATGAACTATTTTTTTTATTTTACGCAGACTTTCGTTGCCATAATTTTAAAGCTTATTTATTTCACACATGGAGTATAATTGGTCGGTAACACTGATATCAAGAAGCGGCACTTGTATAGTAAAAATCAATAAAAAGGTATGTGGTCGTTAAGTCTTTCACATTATATTGCATTTTTCTATGTATGTGTATAAATTTTTATTATAACGTAATAATCGCAGTCACTGAGACCAAGAAGCGGCAAATTATCTACCTTACTTGCATAGTAAAAACCACAACAAACTTTGATTGGAAATTTAAAATACAAATTTTTCCGGGATATTCATTGCAGTTTCACGTGGAGTCAAATTTTGTTATAGTTATATTTTTTCTTAAGGCTTTTTTATCGAACTTTAGTATTAGTCTGGACAAATACTTAAGTATTCAGAAAAATTCCAAATAGCGGGTCGATTTGTCGCAACGACAATTGATCTCCACATCGCAAAAATTCCGTTATTTCCAAAAATGTGTCAAAATTGTAAACAAGAACATTAAAAATAATCTCGCAATAAAATTTTACTTAAAAAATTAGTCCAAGGTTATTTATACAGAATCTTCCTTGCCTTGGAAATACACCACAACATATCCAACTCCAGTTTTTTCGAAAAATGATAAAATTTGATTCTGAGAGTTTGTTTTTGATAACTTCTATAAAAATTGCCTAAGTGGTTTAAGCTTGCATTTTTTTTTTTATTTTTAAAGTACAATACCAAAATTTGTTACTCAACTGACTACATGTTTCTAATTTGATGCTTGTATCGTACCTCTGTTTGAAATTTATTGTAACTTTAGAATTAGAATGCGAAAAAATGATTTTATCAAAAGAATAATAATAGGTTCTTTAACTCTCAGCCCGTCCATGATGTTTGATTTACTGGTGCCCTGAAAATATACAAGGTGTCCCAAGTACAACTCCGCGGCCTCATTTATTGAGAACGGATAGAAATATTAAAATTATGTAAAAGCCGTTGTTTTTACCTAGAAGAAGGGTACTATTTTAAATCACTAAATTACGATTATAATGATATAAAACATTTGTTTATGTTGGATTAGTTTTAACTGTAAATTGTAGGGTAAATACGCTCAATATCGGGGCCATACAGCTCTTTCGAGGGCGGATCACACAGAGAGCACCAATTCCACTTCATCCGAGACGAGCGGATCAAGAAGATAGCTTACGCATTGCACTTACGCCGAGTGACGCAGTTCCTTCTACGACGAGCGGATCACGCAGACAGCCGCAATTCACTTCCACTCGTGACGGGAAAACCGCTCCGAACCGTGACATTCATCAATTCCTATATTTGACTTGTACATATAACAATAAATTACTTGCACCACCCAAGAAAATAAACTAAATGATCTAAATGAAGAAATATTTATAGTGGTCATAATATGTAAACAAATCTATAAACACAAAACTATAATAAAATTTGTAAAATATTAGACTGATTCAGTAAATTTCTCGCAACATTTTAAAGGCGAATTATATGGCAAAATATAAGTAAATAATGTTATTGAAAGCATGGTCAATTCTTCAATATACTGCCTATCAAGATATATTGTAACATTTAGATATTACCAAAGAAATACGTAATAGTGGCATTTCCAAGGTAACTTAGTTGCAATAATCAAGAAAATCATGTTTTGTAATATATTCAAACGATTTCTTTGCTGACAAAATTAATTATGGTAGAAGACAGTTTTGATAATTAACCTTCTCTATTTTTGAAAAATATTAATAGTTTTACTAGAACTTTTGATTTATTTTTTGTCACATATTTCTGTATAAATTTATACAATAGTGCTCTGAATATTGCTATTATAAAACTGTGGCATTAATGCAATATAATTTTAACATCACAATAATGTTATATAACATAATTAAACTGGCGTTATGTAACTGTAGTACAGCACTATTTTGTAACATCATAATTTTGTTGGGTAACAAAAAACATAACAACAATGTAACTGCGTTATATAATCCTGATAAATTTTTGTCAATTATTGCTATACTTTATATTGCCTGGGTAGTGTTAAATATTAACTTAAAAAATTTGGTCTACTACAAAATTTTTTGTTTGCAGGCTAACGAAAATGGTTGAATTTTTTTAATTCTGACTAACATATGTATAGTATGAAAATCGAGTCGACAATAGACGCTCTAGTCGACGACCAACTGGCAGTCCAGACTTGACGCTCTTAGATTTATTTTTATTTTAATACAGAAAAAAAATTGACATATTTGTGATCATAGTTCGAATTTATGGTAAAATAAAAGGTAGTACTTTATTTTATTTATTTCATTTTTTTACATTCATAATTTTTTTTTGTCGGCCGAAAATGGATTAAACACTTTATAAATATCACGAGTATAACGCCAACATAACGTCTCTATTCCAATTTCCGCCTCAAACACCTATAATAATAATATAACAGTTATATAAAGGGACCAACCTGCTGGCAATTTAAGCAAATCTTATCAAGAAATCTGTCCTAGTTCAGCGTCATTAACATATTTTTTATTATATAATTTATATAATTTTTTAATAGTCGAATAAGCACATTGTAATATAGAAATATAGACGCTGAAATGTTAAAATATGAAGTTTGTGTCGCGACGCCGACGTCATATACAGGGTGAGTCATTAAGCGTGCCGTCCTCATTAATTATTATTAGAAATAATAGAAAAAGTCAAAGATAAAAGTTGAACGGTTCTTTAAAAGAACTATACTCAAAAATTATTTCTGACTGTAAGGAGTGTTCTGTTTTAAAGGCGTGACATACAATTTTGTTTTTTTTTAATGAAACACCCTATATATTTTTACATATTTTGATTGATCCCTTCTGAGGCTTTACAACCACAGTATTCTTTAGAAATTCCGATGCGACGTTGCCACGTTATTCCAGTTTTCTTGAAACTTTTTGACAGTATCTGTTTTACAATATTGAAGTACAGTACGCGCTTTGTTGTGGTAGCAATTAAATCCAATTTTAATGCACAAAATGTTTATAAAAAAATCTAAAATTTGACAATTTTCAAAGACCGATATTTTAGTTTTTTCAAATGGAACCCTATATTGTATTACTGTATCTTACTCTATTTTTTTGTCATCAAAAAAGTAAAAAAACGCAGTATCAACTTTAAATATAGAAAATATTCAACAAAAACGAAAGAGAACAAAAAATATAGGGTGTTCTATTTCAAATCGATATTTTAAAATTGCAATAATATAAACACTGTGTATACGAAAGTTGTGTCTTATTTATATCACGACAAAGCACGTGCCTTTCTTTATCTTTCCAAAAATCTCTCCATTATAATTTCAAAAATAAACTACGGTTGTAAAACTTAAGAATAAGTCAATCAATATATATAAACATAAGGTGCGTTATTTAATAAAACTGAGTTGACTATTATGCCTCAAAAACGTGACACTCGGTATAGTTAAAAATCATTTTAGAGTGTAGTTCTCAAATAACCGTACAACTTCGATGTTTGACTTTTTTGCTATTTCTAATATAATTAATATCGAAGAACGCCCGCTCAGTGACTCATCCTCTGTATGTCATATTTGCAAATAAAGCATCCCCCTTCAAGCTAAAAACAATGGCATTTACAGAATTTTTATATATATACCATGGTATAAGGTTGCGGAGTTTTATTTGAACCGGAACGGAACTGGAGAATTTTATGACACTGAGACTATGTTGAACGAACAAAGTTCTGCATTAAGAAGTGGATATAATAGGAATTTTACTTACCTGCAGTGAGCTTTACAACAAATGTTAATTGGTAGAGTAGCATGAAATTTCCAATTTTTAATCAATCAATGACAAATTATGCAATAAATCAAATATCCTTTTCCTCTAATCTGCGACTACATGTTCATTTTTTCAAACCATAAAAATTTGACAAAAAAAAGTTAAAATTTGAAGTAATAACTTGATCAAAGAAAATAAAGTTCTCTGAGTTATATTAGGGATATTTTTGATGTCACATGTTCGTCACTTTAACATAACATAATAAAATAATACTTTAGAAACATAAAAAGGAGTCATTTTTTTTCCACAAAATAGACGTATGTGATTTCAAAATTTTCTACAAACAGTATTTTATGCCGAAGTTCATAGAGCACGTGACCATAGTCAAAGTTAACTCTTTTGAAAGAATGTAGTGTTTTAAAAATACATATGAGCCGCCCTAGAAAAAATAACAGGTTCTTTTTATTTTCAAAAAAATGAAGAATATATTATTACGTAGGTATTACACAATATAAAATATATAGTTTGTTTTCATGGTTAACAGGGTACGCATAATGCTAGAACTGCAGATAGATATAAGTACGAAAGACGTTGTTCACTCTGTTAAGTAAAATGTTTAATTGTAAGTAAAATACTTTTCTATTGTAGACGAATTCTGTAAGCAACTTAGTTTATGAGGTGTCTTCGAACATCGTTACTTTACATCTGTTAACTGTTCGTGTATTGTTGTGCATAATGCGCGTCAAGAACATTAACACCGCCGCCAACTTGCTGAAAGTTTTGTCCGCTTCTCGCCGTTTGAATTAAGTACAAAGTAATCCGTGTAGTCTCCCCAGACAATGAACTGCTTGCTACAGAACTAACCTAAATACATGCAAACAATGCCGAGGCGAAATCTACGTTCATTATGTAACTATGTAAGCGCTCAAACAGCTCTCATGTAACTCCGCTCTAGCGTAAATCTAACAATCGACTCTTCCATTGTTTCCGTCACGTCGATATTTATACGCGCAGCAGGCGCGGGAAATTACTCCCTCCACCAGACAGTGAATAATGGCGTCTGGAGGGAGGGCCTCCGCGAGTATATTTTGTGTAATTTAAAGAAAACTAGCCCCCGGGGTGCGAACTGTGTACCTCGTTTCCATTTTTATTGTTACTAACAAGCATAAAAAGAATAAGTTTTCGCTTGTGGTCGTTGCGGGCTCGTAAAGCAGGATGCACAAGCATTCTAGGTTCTATTAACTAGACGGCATTCAGCTACGATCTATAAGACTCTAGGACTCTAGTTCCAAAAATAAAAAAGAACTATGTTTAAAGAGGCATCGCATAAACCAAAATTACCTGACTCAGACTTCTATAGCTACTTGCGCTTCCGCTGCGCGCCTGTGAACAAACAAGTTTAAACGTGAACCAGAAGAAATTAAAAAATAGAGAGTAGTAACTAAACGAAAGAGAAATGAGAAAGGAGAACGAGAATGTGTGTGGCGCTGGAACGAAAAAATCAACTTGGAGATGTTTATCTATGAACGTTGAAATTCATCCCGTGTGCCGTTTTGGGAGTTTTATTTATGAACCGTTTAGGTGAGAGCACGTTTCGTTCATTGATTTCGTAGACGCGGATATATACCTAGTAGGGAGATTTATGGCATGTGAGCATTTCCTGTGACGCCCTGTATTATGAAAGTGTGTGGCAGTAAGTCGTTTACTCGCTCACTGCCTGTATATTACCGGTGTAAGCATTTAGTGGGATTTAAACGAATTGCTGTCGCACTGGCGACGTTATTATGGGTGACGTTTTAATGATTTAATGGTGGATTTGCGTCGCGACACCGGCACCGGGGCGGCACGTTATTAAGAGCAACGTGCCGAAAAATAGATTTGTGTTGATGGAAGCCAAATGGGTGTAGAATTGTAACCGACGAACGATGTTGTTGACATACACAAATTTTACGAAAGTAAATTAACTATTTGAAAGGGGTTAATGGCAAAATGGAATATTCCTGGATTAATGTTCTAGGCTTAAAAAGAATCATATAACTTGTTAACCGATTTTTTCATTTCTAATACTAATTCTAATAAAACGAATTGCCATTTCTTCTATAGCTTCATTATAGCCATGAAGTAAATGGCTAGTCTTTTGAACATCTGTTGTGAAATAAAATCGTTCTTTGTTTGTCTTATTTTAATTAGTTGAGACTACAATTAAATATTCTCTTTACCTCTAGACTAAATAACGAGAGATCAAGAAGAAACCTCCTAGTTACTAGTCAGTCGTCTTTTTTTTCAGCGATGTAGGTCCGAGCAAACCACCAAACAGGGGCGGCTGGTGCCAAGGGGCACAAACGCATCTGCCTCCCCAAAGTTACGTCTACAAGCATGCTGGACATAGCAAAATAGTAATTTTCAATATTTAAAAAAACTAATTTTTGTCTCGCTCCATTTGTATCAAATGTACCAAAACTTACATCTAAAGATATTGTATCGTTGTCCGAATCATAACTCATTTAGACTTTTTGTTTACACAGTTGCCATGGAAACCGTGCCTCTAGTCGCTGTATTTGGCTAGAATCGGGTCACATTTGAAACAGTGACCGCTGACAGTACTTCAGCTAAGGGGGCTCATTTCAATATTTCATAAAAAATAGTCCTCTGTCTTACGACGACAAAATTGAAGTGAAGAATTTAGGGAGAGCCAACCCCGATTTATTAATTAAAAAAGGATTCATGGCAAAACGAGATATTTTCATAAATATTTTAACAGACATAACACGTATGATAAATTTTTGTGGATGTGTGGTTATGAAAAAAATAAATTGTTTTGTTTTGTGTGTCTCCTTAGTAATGAGTTAAAACTTAAGGTATGTAGACAAATACTTTTTACTTTTATTGAATGTATTTTTTATGAATCATGCCCTCTAGAGTACGAAAAAAGTGATCGCCTGTTTCCGTCCGTCTGTCTGTCTGTCTGTTGATCTCAGCTTGTGTTGATTTTTATTAGAAATATTCTCCTAAACAACTACACCAATTGTTGTCAAATTTTGTATGTATATTAGGAATATCACGTAGATGACAAGACACTAAATAGAATTTTGCTAATCAGCCAAATTGTTGAGGAAACAAAAACAATCATGGAAATGTGTTAATATTGAATTCTTTCGAAGTATAGACATAAACAGTGGAAATTATACATGTAATGAGACAAAGGAATCATTTTTCCCGTTGGTTATTTGTTTAATAAAATATTACATTTTTTCCCTAAGGCATTGATTACAAGGTAACTCAACAAAAGTAATAATGAATTAATTTATTTCATTGATTAAATCAGAAACGATTCATTCCATTTTCCCTTGTAAAAATGTGGATGACGTCGTCACAATTTTTTTTTTAAACAAAAACTCATTTGAAACATACGCCTCTTTACATTTATTTTGGATATATATTGTTACGTTGTTCAGTGAATTAAAATCGGCGTGGGTAAAACTCAACATTATATTTCTTACTAACTTTAATTTACACAACTTACTATTACAACAATTATGTACAAAATAATTCCTATGCGTTTCTACCGATGTATCCAGAACGCCACTTCGAGGGTTTTCTCGGTCTGTCGCGACATCCGGTTCCAGGCCTTTAGCGAACGCCGCGTCATCCGGCCGGTGAGTCATACTACATACTAGAAGAAACACATACATACTAGAAGATCCATAGGCGTCGTACCGGGGTGGCGTATGGGTTTATTTCGTAGCAATATCTTTTAACTTGTAGAGGTTTTCATAAAAAAATAAAATTCGTAAGATCAAATTTTGTAATTTTTCTAAAAATCTGTATATGATTTATTGTACTTCAGGGGCTAAGGAAGTTCTGTCGAAATAACCTTCGACCAGTTTTCTTGAAGGTAATAAATTGTAAAGTAAGTAGGTATATATTAACTTCTTCATTTTTCCAATTTTTTGAGGAAATTTAAATTCAGATCGAAAATAAAGAAGAAATGTTTACTCCATTTGTTAGTGAACTTCATGACGACATGGCTACTTTCAACAAGATAGAACAACAGCTCACTACTTATGAAGGTGCTTTCAAAATTTTCGGTGAACGAAGGATAAGTCGAAATGGGCTGTTAATTATCCCACTAGATCATGTGATTTAACTTCTTCTGATTTTTTTATGAAATACACTCCAAAAATCCTGCTTCGTTGAAAAACAAAAAAAAAAAAATTTTTAAAACTTGTTTCTGTTATGACCTCTATGCACTAAAATAAATATAGATAATACCAGTAGTAGTGTAAGAAGCTAAATGATATCCTATAAATATGTTTTGGCATCCTATATTCTTTTGTTTGTCTACATCTGACATCTGCCTTTTTTTAATAACACCGTGTACATATATAGTTTTTTAGAGATTTTTGTAGAGCTTGTTTTTCTGAATTCATTGATGTACGATATTTTAATCACCCATATTTCGCCACTGTCTACGATCTGACTGCATTATATTACGGAGACATACTCTGTTATCATTATATTTGAATTTTCTCATTTGAAAATGTTCCGATCCTTATTTCAGTAAGGACACGCAAATGTTCCGACACGTGCAGTGTAATACGATAATAAAACACTGAGGTGTACGGATTTTGAGATCGATTAATAAAATTAACAAACTATGGGGTTTTAAGCCCATGCAACATTTGAACGTGCGCGATTTTTGCGTTGCAAATCCGGAAGCGAACGCTTTACGCGATAAGTTGCACGAACTTCGCTTAGAGTAATATAAAATGTACAATTTCGATTTTTTGAGAAAATTTGGATGCCTCGGGAAAAATTTCAACTCAGATTCATAAACAACAAGTATTTATTATGAAATATGTTGAGGGAATGTCATCACATTGGCAGTAGGGATGACTAGGCAAATTTTGGTTAGCGTTTTACCATCTGCATGGTATTCCTAATATACATACAAAATTGGTCAACAATCGGTCCAGTAGTTTTGAGAATAATATGTCTAATAAAAATCTCAACAGACGGCAGACAGATAGACCGAGACACGGAAACGGGAGATCCTTTTTCGTTATATAGGTGTCATGAAACGTCGAGAAAACCTGAAAGTAGGCAGTGGCCCGATGTACTGGCTTACAATACTTCCAATGCGGCTCAGAATAAGTTTAAAAGCCGGTCATGGGCATTTTCGTCATTTGTTGTAAATTTATTAATAACATAAGTATAGTTTTGGAAATTTCATTCTACCCTGTAAAATTTTATTGGCAATAACGAGACGGACAGTAGTAGAATATCAAAAGATATTTACAACCTAAGTTGCAGCGTGCCGTTAATCCCCAGATGCTAGAAAGCAGAATAAGCCAGGTCCGGACAGGGACCATCGTTACTCACGAACGAAAATGACCATTATTTTATGAGTACAACAACCTGCTAAATGTTCTCCGACAAATTCGGGTGAACTGGTGTGAACCATAAATATTTCTAATTTTATAGGATAGAATGAAATTTCCAAAACTATAAATACCTTAACAAACAATATTCATTTTTATACAAGTTGCTTCTTTTCACTTCGTTATAACCTCACTTTTTTAACATAAAGATAATGATACTAAATCTTAGAGATTAGTCAAGATAGAAAATTGAAATTATCGTATACTGTAGACTTTAATTTGCACAAAATCTATGAAAAATTTCAGAAAATTACAATATAAGTAAGTACAATATTTTAACAGTATCAAATTTATAACAAATGAGGATATATTCTTCACCCGTATAATAAGAGACCAAAATTGTGCAATAATTTTCATAATTCCTCCAAAAACGTCCAATTTTGGATTTATCAACATTATGGTAAATATTTATATAAATATAAACCTATATAAAAATTCATAAATCATGTAATGTTCAGTCAGAGCTAATCTTTATTACCTGAAAAGACGACCCTTACAAAAAAAGAGTATAAATATTTTGCTTCATAGCTGAAAAGCAAAAAGCTAGATCCTGTTATTGAAGATTTGTCGGATTTGTTTTTTTATGTCGAAAAAGTGATTAAAATCAAATGAAAATATTGATATTTCCAAGTAAGTGTCAAAATGTAAGAAATTAACTTTCACGACTTCGAATTTTTATTTACAGATGTGGCAAACTAGTTACCTTTCTAGGAGGAAGGTCTGGGTATTACAAACTAACAAAGGCTGTAGTGTAAACAGGAAAAAATAAATACCAAGATTTATTTAGAGCCTCCGGATGCCGACTTTTTTTTGAAGTATTTATTTTATTGTTTAGTATTTTTAATGTTTAAAATGGAGATAAGGCTGGTAAATATACTCGGCAATTTGCGGAGATTCATAAAATTGGAGGTGTTCCAAAAAAATTGCAAAATTTTGAAATTG